CCCATGACAGAAACCTCTGCAAGTTATTCGAATTTCTTCCTCTTATTTAAAGTTAAACTGATTTCTTTTTATTCTTGGTTCCTGGAAAGTGTACTTTCATCGTATTATGAAACACAGACCACTTAACGATAATGAACGATGAACGCGGAAGTCCTAAGATAAACTTCTATACTCGCTATCGTAAGATAAAATATCATTTAAAACGGAAGTTCTGTACGAAAGATATTTAGCAATATATAAATCGTACATTCTCCCACTTCTATGTCAAGGTGATCGGGTAGTGCAGTGCATAGTGCACTGACCTTTCACCCAGACGGTCAGGGTTCGATTCCCTAACCGGAAGTGAAAAAGTCTGGGCCCATATGACCGACAACGTGAGTTTTCTCTGGGTACTCTGGTTCCCCAACGTAAAATCCTCTGCGCGCTATAATTCCGGCAAACAAGAGTGATAGACATATGCTACTAATACTTGTTTCATAATTATTTTAAAAATAAATAAAGTTTATGGCAAGACAGGCAAACCACAGGGACCTGATACTTGGTTACGGCTATATTTGGACTTAAACTAAAGAAGTAATTTTACACGTGTTAGGGGGTTTAGATCGACTTTCGGTTGACACGCTACTCCCAATGATGATTTATGCGAGGCAAACGTCATGCTGCAAATCATTGAGAAAAACAGATATAAAACGAAACCCATCCACTACGTGTGTAGTTTGTAATCCAGTTTGCGGTATAGCTCGTTATATGCTGTGTGGAAAAATATCAGTTTCGTCATCTGTTAAAAGTATTCAGTATTTAAGTGCGGTAGACTTTTAATGCAGCTAATTCGGTGTATCTAAAATATACGTAATTACGTATACATTAAGTACGTACTAGTATACCGGCAGAGGCCCCTCAGGGTAAACAGCATAACACATGAAACTTAATTTGGAAACGTTAATTTGGGTGATAAAAGTTAATTATCCCATTAGTTTCGTCACGATCGTACCATCCAGAAATGTAGTTCGATTTTTTTTCTGATTGGCCTGAAGGTGTACGTACATTTGTACGTATACTCGACGCTATATTTTTTTCCAAAACGAATACAATTCCTTTTTGTCATGAAAAATGTTGCTGCAAGACCTTAAACATTTTTTCCTAAAAAACAAAATCGGTATTTTATAATGGATATACTTACTGGGAAATTATGAGGTATTTAGATGTATCATATATATATATGTATACTTTGCAAGAGAAAATGTTCATCCTATCAGTGTTAAAGTACAGGTCGGAATTATAAGACGAAACATGCTGTCGGACTAAAGTACTGTGCATCAAAGTATGTACAATGTATGTTATTGTATATTTTAATAAATGCTGAATGTAATAATCGCCAAGTAAAAATCACAATAAATAACTGGATGAAACAGGCTTGCAACAAATCTTTAAGGCATATCAATGTAAGCAGATACCGATATACAATATGTATGTGGATCTTAATTTAAAATCAAGCCTCTCATATGTCAGACAACGGACTGTTCGGTATAGGCAGACACGTATCCAGTTACCATCCTGGCATTGTCAGTTCTAACTTAACCCGCCTAGTATGGTTTTGAATTTCTTCATTGTACATGTGATAAAGTATATTCGAAGTCATTTGAACAGAGCTTAGAACGGCACGATATTGGGTATTCCGTATACAAATAATTAATTGGTATTTTCAATAGATTTGAATCAATTTGAACGAAAAATGAGATGAGAAATATTAAGTTCGACTGCACGGTAATGCGTTTTAATTATTTTGTTCCAACTTTTATAATTGTTGGAGTTCGGAGTGGGGATGGGGGTAGGGTAGGCAGTGGGCCTAAGGGTGGGGGTATAACGTTTTATTTGGCCAGTGTTGATTTAACATGTTATATTACAAGTCAAAACTGATAAATCAAGTAGTTTCTTTTCTGGGCCCCTCCGACGTCTTGTCTCTACATGTGGTCCCAACAAACTAAAAAAATATATTCTTATGTGCTATATAAAATACATGGGAATTTGGTATTAAATGTGAAAGAACATGATTTGCTATTTATATCCGAATTCAAAATCTGAAAAACAAATACAGAAGTACAAATACAGAAGTTTTCTTTTCAATATCAGAAATGTAAGCTTGCTTATTACTCAAACGTTAATCAAAATTAAGCTTGAAATGAAATATATTTAGATTAGATATAAAGCATTTAAAAATATCAATATAATATAAAAATGTCGCGAATTAATATGTCTAAATATGGACCATTTAATAAAATTTTCAATTATCCTTTATGATATATATTTTTTATATAATTTACTTTCATTAACATGCATTCGTTTGTAAATGATTGCCACAAGTGTACCCTATCCTAACTGTACCGCTATTGACGAGCCACACACTTTAAATGAACAGTCCTCGTTTGTATTACACACGTGAGTATTAGTGCTTTTACACGTAGAGTGTTGTCACACTTAAATCCGATCTATATCTAAACCCTCGAAAGTATTTCCGGTTGAACGACACTGTTGAACGACTCTCTTTCTCATGATAATCTCATAGCAACGAATGTAAACAAACGCATTTCAATACGAAAATGAGACAAACTAATAAAATACAGATTACATAAGCAACGGTATATACTTAATTAATATAAACCTACATTTTTGTCAAAATTGATTTGCCCCCGAGCGTCTCGTAGACTTTGCTTCAGCCATTCCACATCCCCTATCGCAGCCGCCATAAATTCGTCATCGGCGATTTTCTTGTCATTGCCTCCAGCCCTTGGTCGGCGTTTTCTCTGGTACCGGTCAGTTTCTGTCCCTGGACTAGCCATGGAAGACTTGCCAACGTCCGGCATCCTTGTAGTGGTTAAATATATCGCGAGGTCAACTGACAGGACACATGGGTGTAATTAACTCCCTAACTACCATGTTACAAGCACCTGTTCGAAGACTACGCCATATTGTTGACATAGGCTAATTTATTTTACGGATTCTCCCGAGGGATTTAAACGAAACGACACATGCGCACAAATTACCCTGCTTTGCTATATTGTAAAGTGGTATGGAGTGGCCTTACTTTACTGAACATAAACACAGTATAAAGGGTTCTACACGAGCTATATGGTTAATTATATCAGCTTACGGTCAACAAAAGTTTATTTTGCTTGCGATCGACGGACAATGAAGCGGCATTATTAAAATGCGGGATTCATTTACATTTTTTCAATATTTTTTCGAAGTCTGTTTTTCGTCCGATTTTGATGTAATTTGACACTCGAACAGAAAGAAAATTACCCAGCCGTTAACTGGTAGTAAGCATATTGTTGTCCGGTTTAATTTGCCAAAACATTTTTTTACAGCAAAATGTAACTTGCCCTATTGGAATGACATCTACAGTAACTTTTATGGCGAGATGAAAAGTGTTATATCAAGAAGAGAGCCACAGATAAGTATAACCCTCTAACAGGATGTAAACTGATTGGATGTAGAAAGAAATCATATGATTATATAAGTTATTGAAAAAATAACATATCAGAATCCAGTGGGAAAGTGACATAAATATCATGAAAGACTTATGACACGTCACTGACACATACTTGTCCACCTTTTCAAATTCAAGGGGGAGATTCTGCATAAGTTCATACCCTAAAACCTAAATAAAATGTGTGTATATACCCCTTAAGAGACAAAATAGTCCTTAAAATGACATATTTTGCTTTGTTCTTTTAGGTGAATAATTTAGCAAATTCACAGGGTGAAAATACTAAATGTATATATGGGTCCAAAATCGGGAGTCGCCCTCCTAAATAGGCAGAGCTGGCAAGTATGCACTAGTTGTATATACCTATACCTGTCTGAATTTTAACAAGTTACATGAACTATTTTCAACTTATGCCCGATCCTAATGCTGTAAAAATAAAAAGCAATAAAATACGTTTCAACTAAATTAAGTTTAAAAAACTATTTTCAAACGATATATATATATATATTTCTTTCCTTTCCTTTTATTCGACACACACACACATATATATAGCATGTACATATACATGTGTAGTTATTTTTAACGGAGACTTTTAAAAAACAATATCAAATTTAAAAACCTAGCTAAAGATAAGACCCTCCTCCATTCATGAGTGCATAGCTCACGGACAAGGAATCAACTACAAAGACCAATTGTAGCCGACATTTAACTGTCTATATTTAGAACACGCATCTTAACATACAAAAATTTAAATCCCATTTACTTTTTCATTGTTTCACGATTTTTAGGGCCAACTTTTCGAAATGGGTCTATTGATTAAAACTTAACATTGACGAGTTTTCTATTTTCCAGTTTCTTTTTTAAGATATTATTGATATATATGTAAAGGAACATTTCATTGATAACCTGGAAGTATATACTAAAATATGTTAATAAACTGTTAAATATTGACAAAACTAGAACTAGACGCTGTCTCCGAAACGTTGATGTAGCATTTATATATCGGAGTAGATGCAGAACATGTAATAATTGTACCGATGATGCATACAACAGCTATAAGAAGCAAAGCTTGCTACATTCGAAATGTATTGACACGCCGACTTCCTACACGCTATTCTATTTAACCTGTTTAACATGTCCATGCCTTTCATTGAAATACATTTTTTTAAAATATTTTTTGTGAACTTTGGAAATATGTCAAAAAAATGTTTGTTTGTGGTTTACGTCCGTTAAACAGCTTTGGTCGTTTAGGACGTGCCTGCTTTTGGTGAAGGAAAGCCCGAGTTTAACCACCAATCTACGGTCAGTACCTGGCGACTGTCCTATGTATACGTAGGCCTCGAACCCACGATCCAGTACTAGTGGTGGAGGGCTAGTGGTGACAGAATATCAGATCAGATGCCACCGCGACCCCCCCCCCCCCCCCCCCCCCCCCCCCCCTCTCCCTCACGTTAAAACAACCGGCTTTATAAATAGATATACTGTGCATACAAGCCAACTTTTGCTGCGTAGTTAAACTTTCGTCCTTTCGCCCTCCTTCTTTAAGCCGAAACTGATATATTATGTATCAAACGAGCGAATATCAGTATATAGCATAAGCAGTAATAATTGCAGTTGGAGGGCAAATTAAGCAAGGAATATAACGAGATTTTACCTGTGAAGGGTGAAGATATATGACTTATTGGGATATTTGACTGGGCGATACTATACATGATTTATTGGGATATTTGACTGGGCGATACTATAATGTATATGATTTATTGGGATATTTGACTGGGTGATACTATATATGATTTATTGGGATATTTGACTGGGCGATACTATATATGATTTATTGGGATATTTGACTGGGCGATACTATAATGTATATGATTTATTGGGATATTTGACTGGGTGATACTATATATGATTTATTGGGATATTTGACTGGGCGATACTATATATGATTTATTGGGATATTTGACTGGGCGATACTATAATGTATATGATTTATTGGGATATTTGACTGGGTGATACTATATATGATTTATTGGGATATTTGACTGGGCGATACTATATATGATTTATTGGGATATTTGACTGGGCGATACTATAATGTATATGATTTATTGGGATATTTGACTGGGTGATACTATATATGATTTATTGGGATATTTGACTGGGCGATACTATATATGATTTATTGGGATATTTGACACTGAAAGTTTCTAGGAATATAGTAATATATTGTCAGTAACATATAGTAGTGTGTTGTAATTACTTCGACTTATATACTCCGATATAGTGATTAAATGTTAAAGGGCTGACGGCAATCTATCAGTTAAATATGTGAGATATTATCAAAACGTAATTCAATTAATCTTGCGACTTAATTTAACCTTCAGATAGTTCAGCAGCCATTTTAATTTTTGAAAAAAAGAAGATAGATGATTGTAGAAAGACATTACTAGAAGAAATTTGTTTCAAAGGTATTTACCAAGTGACCTTATAGCTTTGACTTTTAATCTCTGGTCTTTGTATTTCATTTGTCTTGGTGAACAACTATAGTAGTGCACTGTTATTTCTTTGGGAGAAATTACGTTTCAAAAACCTTTAAGCAATTTAGACCCAACTCTCATTTTTATGTCTCCATGAACAACTGTAACATTTAATTTTCCTTCACTATTTGAGGTACCGAAGTTTTAAACTTCATACACAGCTGTGGCCTGGAGATAATAATATGAACTCATCATGTCCCCCAAACTGACACATACATAAGAGAAAGAATGGCACAAAGTGAAACACAATGTCAAACCACACAATAACTGATAATTCTTTTAATAAATATGATTAAAATTTAAAGGCAACTTATTGTAAAAATAACAGATTCATTATAAACAAATAAAATTACAAATCGAAATCAAGGGGCCCGGAGGGACTGTACATTTTATCCAATCATAGCAAATATTAATTAATACAGTAACATTATTGCAAAAAAATCCCATTTGAACTGAGTCATTCAGTATCAAGGGGCACAACACCCTTTCTTTATATAACATTTGATTTCCTTGTACAATATTCTTCTATTCATAGCAAATATGTTGAAATACAATGGACTGGGCGTAATTTGTTAAAGGTTAAATAGATTTATATCTAATTTTCTTCTTTTGTGCATAGCCTCTCAGTCCTCAGGGGTAGCTACACTTTTCCTTTGATTTAACAATTAATTCAACATCCAATGGATTAAGTATGCTTTGGAAGCAAATCTGACTAAATTTGTATGTTCTGGTACTTGTATATGGTTACTATGGCGCTACTATGTGTACTCCCTTCATCCCAAGTGAAGGTGTTAATTCATAAAGATTAGGGATCTCAGTGTTTGCATTAAAACATTCCGGCATTGGTCCCCAGGAGCAGGACAGACCCTTAATGTAATTGTATCTACACTGTATAGCTACAGGGTAGGAATCACAACAGTGTCCATATTGTGATCCAGAAACTAAGAAAGTCAGCAGGGGGTGAGGCTGACCCAAGCACCAATCCTGGTAGCATGATAATGTCCATCTGTTCAGGTCTAGCAATTTGATATATGGTTACAGGGTTAGATCTTAATCAGTTCTAGTATTATATTATATTATTATCTAAAAGTAAGTCACAGAGTGCGGGGAGGGGCACACCCTCTTCTTTTATACAACATAGTGTTCTCTAAGGATGCTCTCCCTCAGATTAAATTAAATTTCTATTATCTATATTGAAGAACCTGGATTTTAAAAATGACTTCTTTTCCCCCTTAATGACCCCATCCATCTGTCCTCAAAGGGTCACACCCTCTATTTATACGACATTGAACTACCTTGGCCAAACAATGACTCACACAAAATCCATTTAGCTGTTCTTGACTAGTAGCATTTTAAAGGAAAAGATGAGGGATAACAGATATACGATAGATTCTGTGACATGGCATAAGCTCACATGGCCCTTTGGGCAAGGTGAACCTAACATTATAGATAAATTATGGCCAACGCTTATAACTAAAATATTCTCTCTTCCATCTGTATAAGTCTCAGTATTCAAATAAAGCATGGTATACCTATTCAACTAAAACATGTGAACAACCATTTTTTTCTGAATCAACCATGGTTTCATATATGGAATAGAAGTCAATTTTAATTACAAAAATATGTTTAATAAATTAAATTATTGCAATTAATACATGAACATTAATTACATTACATCACCAACCCCTTATTCATCAAATAAATTATCAAAATTAACAAGAAGCTAATGTGAAACCCAAATGAAATGAATAACAACAGTCAAACCTATATTACAGAGACCACTCTCTGGAATACCAAAACGCAGTCTCTTAACACAGCTGGTCTCTTAATACACCCATTTCACAATGAAATCAATACAACTAGGAACATTGAAAGTGGTCTCTTAATACAGGTGGTCTCTTAATAGACCCATTTCACAATGAAATCAATACCACTAGGAACATTGAAAGTGGTCTCTTAATACAGGTGGTCTGTTTAATGAGATCGACTTTACATAGATATCACTACAATGTGGAACATTGATAATGGTCCCTTAACACAGGTGGTCTCTTAATAGACTCGTTTCACAGTAAAATCAATTCAAGTAGGAACGTTACAGTAGAGGCACGGTAGTCTAGTGGTAGGATGCCAGGCTTATGAACGAAGGGTTGTGGGTTCGAGTCCCGTCATGGCACTGTGTTGTATCTGTTCCAGCCTACTCAGCTGTAAATGAGTATGTGGTTGGACAGTGCTAGAATTGTTGAACGCTAGCTGTGAGCGCCAAAATGGCAGCACCAGCTGTATGTTCCCTAGGGAGGTAAGAAAAATATTGGCTGGTTACAAAGGCTCTATAACCACCGATAATAATTTGTGAATCGCTTTGAGAGAACCTACATGTAGGTTGTGATAAAGCAGTATATAAGAACCTAAAATTATTATTTTATTATCATTAACATTAAAAGTGGTATTTTAACACACATCTCTTAATAGAGATGATCACAAAAGCAGATTTGACTGTATATACCGGTAGATATACAAAAAGAGAATCAATTATAATTACTAGAAGGGGTGTGCAATGAGGAAACAACCAAGAGGGTTTACTAGTCTTCATCCCAAACCAATATACTAGCATTTAATAGATAATTTGGCTCACACATACATATTACTAAAATATGTGTACCACTTTCGGAAAGATATTTAGTTGGTTTATACGTGACATCACAGAATGCTCTTGTATCACCCTAAGATCAGAGACAGAAAAACTCTCCATCCATCCCTTTTACAAAGACCTTTTGACAAAATTAATCACAAGACAAATCCGGCTAAGCTGAAAGAAAGGTAAAACATCAATTCATTCACCCCTGATTTTTCATAATGAACTATTCAAAGCTTTGAATTGGAAGAGTTCAAATGTATCTTCAGGGGTGAATGAGTATATGGATATATCTGAGTCTTGTATAAGCTATTCACTTTAAAAGTGATTCTATCATATAAGAACTTTTTTTGTATCTTATAGAAATAATGCTAGATCATCTTCAAATAATTATCTATACTGACACTACAAAGATACTGTAATAGTTTATAATTAGTCAGCATAAGAGTTAAAGACAAATATTTGCATATAAACCTAGAATTAAAAAATCCTCTTTTTTCACTAACATGCAGGTTTGCTGACACAGTATTTGTAAAATGTCACTTTTAAATTCTTTTTAATTCCCCTTTTTCCCTTCAATTCATTATTTTTTTTTCTTTATCAAACTCTTCATTGTGGTAACACAGTTCTACAAAATATTATTTCATGATAAATTAGCATCATCAGATTGTGTCGGACTGGACTGTAGTGTTCCTTCGCCTTGTGATTTTTCATTACCAGACAATTCTGGTGATAATATATCGTCTGTTTTGTCTACAACAGTTTCGTTGATGGAGTTATAAGGTAACATTTTACCCTTGGATAACACCTTGTCCAGTCTGGATATAAATGTATCAACGTCATCTTTCGTCATCCCGATGCCGGCTGCCGCTGTGAGGTAGGAGCAGGGATACACGTCGGAGTGGGCACCAAAGTTACAGAAGTGCTGGCCATTTATATCACTTATCTTCCCAGTCTGAGAAACAACTCTGGTTGTAAAGTAAAACATAAAATGATCATCACTGTTGAGTAGTTTCCATCACTTTGTGTTAAGACTTATAAAAGTCATCATACTTTTATCAGTGAAACGTTACCAGTGAAATATGGGGAATTATCAGTTTGTTAACACTTATATCATGTCTGCAATAAAGAAATCAAACACTTGTCACCAATAATGTTATGAAATTCATTTAAACAATAACTGGGTGTCTGGATGTAATTATTGTTGATATAATTACAAGTGGCCTCTGGCACATCATATAAAGCCTGCTAGGGTTTTGATGGTAGATTCGCCAGAGGCCCCTTGTAATTATATCAACAATAACTACATCCAGACAACCAGGTATTTTTTATATTTACATATTTTTCTTTTTTAAGACATATTCCTACAAAAACCATTTGCCCTGCCTCAAAATACATACAGTCAGTAGTGTATAAGTACTATAAACCGAAATCAGATTGTATTTCTTTATTTTCTGGGAGTACAAGGCACCATTAGGAAAAAAGTGATTTTAACTCGGAATAAATGTAGCAATATTAATGCAACTATTGCAAATGTTTTAAAACTAGAAATTGTCTAAGACAACAATGCCTCCGCATCCATGCGAACTAGTTTCCTTGTTTGACAATTTTCCCCGAACATAAAGGCTTGGTGTATTAAACTTTGACACCCTGATATACAAACTCACTTAATGTGTCATTATACCTTATAAATTCAGCTGAGTTTTTATGTATTTATTTATATATGTATTGGACTAAGGATCCCTGTAGTATTATACAGCTGAGAACTGTGAATTTGGCATGACCAGAAAAAACATGCACTGACAAACCTTTGTGCAAAAATGATAAAGAAAAAGTAAATAAAAAAGGAATCAACCACGGTGCTGGGAGTGTAAAAGTGCTATGGGTCAGACCAGGACTCGAAACCTGGGAACATTTATCAAACTAACAATTAAGCTATTTTTAGCTGGAAGCCCACATTTTGAATGTCATTATTATATACCTTGTTCCAGAGACACAACGTGTAAACAGCTTGGAGCCTATATCTGTAGCACTGGATCCATCTACTGTCAAAGTCATGGCTACAAGTAAATAAACACCGTGAAAACAACAAACAGTCAATATATGTAGCTAAACTGTCAAAGTCACAGTTGTAATACGATACATATTGTAAACACAATATGTAACCTGTGTACATATAGCTTTTCTGTAAGAGTCATGGCTACAATTATATACAATCTGGGTTTGACACTAAGTATTAATAACTATTTTGCTTGTTAGTCCACAGGACTAGTTGTCAGAATAGAATTTTTACTAATCCTATGTCAATGTAACAAGTCGAAGACTTCACCCAGGAAACATCTCCAGCACTGAACATAAAAATCAATTGACTGTAAGGGACATAAAAAACTATGGCCATAAATTTGTGGTGAAGTTGTAAGGAAAGTTTGACAATTATGATGCAATATATCTTTATTTTAAGCAGTTTTTAAGATATGTAGCAGTCAGTTTGATATGCTCATATATGAAGTGTACACCTTTCCATAGATATGTGATTGTGAGGTGTCACTTGCCCATGTATATGTGGTTGTGAGGTGTCATCTGCCCATGTATATGTGGTTGTGAGATGTCATCTGACCATGTATATGTGGTTGTGAGGTGTCATATGACCATGTATATGTGGTTGTGAGGCGCCATCTGACCATGTATATGTGGTTGTGAGGTGAGGTGTCACTTGCCCATGTATATGCGGTTGTGAGGTGTCACCTGACCATGTATATTGTCACTTGCCCATGTATATGTGGTTGTGAGGTGTCACTTGCCCATGTAATTGTGGTTGTGAGATGTCACCTGACCATGTATATGTGATTGTGAGGTGTCACTTGCCCATGTATATGTGGTTGTGAGGTGTCACTTGCCCATGTATATGTGGTTGTGAGGTGTCACTTGCCCATGTATATGTGATTGTGAGATGTCACCTGACCATGTATATGTGATTGTGAGGTGTCACTTGCCCATGTATATGTGGTTGTGAGGTGTCACTTGCCCATGTATATGTGATTGTGAGATGTCACCTGACCATGTATATGTGATTGTGAGGTGTCACTTGCCCATGTATATGTGGTTGTGAGGTGTCACTTGCCCATGTATATGTGATTGTGAGATGTCACCTGACCATGTATATGTGATTGTGAGGTGTCACTTGCCCATGTATATGTGGTTGTGAGGTGTCACTTGCCCATGTATATGTGATTGTGAGATGTCACCTGACCATGTATATGTGATTGTGAGGTGTCACTTGCCCATGTATATGTGGTTGTGAGGTGTCACTTGCCCATGTATATGTGATTGTGAGATGTCACCTGACCATGTATATGTGATTGTGAGGTGTCACTTGCCCATGTATATGTGGTTGTGAGGTGTCACTTGCCCATGTATATGTGATTGTGAGATGTCACCTGACCATGTATATGTGATTGTGAGGTGTCACTTGCCCATGTATATGTGGTTGTGAGGTGTCACTTGCCCATGTATATGTGATTGTGAGATGTCACCTGACCATGTATATGTGATTGTGAGGTGTCACTTGCCCATGTATATGTGGTTGTGAGGTGTCACTTGCCCATGTATATGTGATTGTGAGATGTCACCTGACCATGTATATGTGATTGTGAGGTGTCACCTGACCATGTGGTTGTGAGGTGTCACTTGCCCATGTATATGTGATTGTGAGGTGTCACTTGCCCATGTATATGTGGTTGTGAGGTGTCACCTGCCCATGTATATGTGGTTGTGAGGTGTCACTTGCCCATGTATATGTGATTGTGAGATGTCACCTGACCATGTATATGTGATTGTGAGGTGTCACCTGACCATGTGGTTGTGAGGTGTCACTTGCCCATGTATATGTGGTTGTGAGGTGTCACTTGCCCATGTATATGTGATTGTGAGATGTCACCTGACCATGTATATGTGATTGTGAGGTGTCACCTGACCATGTGGTTGTGAGGTGTCACTTGCCCATGTATATGTGGTTGTGAGGTGTCACTTGCCCATGTATATGTGATTGTGAGATGTCACCTGACCATGTATATGTGATTGTGAGGTGTCACCTGACCATGTGGTTGTGAGGTGTCACTTGCCCATGTATATGTGGTTGTGAGGTGTCACTTGCCCATGTATATGTGATTGTGAGATGTCACCTGACCATGTATATGTGATTGTGAGGTGTCACCTGACCATGTGGTTGTGAGGTGTCACTTGCCCATGTATATGTGGTTGTGAGGTGTCACTTGCCCATGTATATGTGATTGTGAGATGTCACCTGACCATGTATATGTGATTGTGAGGTGTCACCTGACCATGTGGTTGTGAGGTGTCACTTGCCCATGTATATGTGGTTGTGAGGTGTCACTTGCCCATGTATATGTGATTGTGAGATGTCACCTGACCATGTATATGTGATTGTGAGGTGTCACCTGACCATGTGGTTGTGAGGTGTCACTTGCCCATGTATATGTGGTTGTGAGGTGTCACTTGCCCATGTATATGTGATTGTGAGATGTCACCTGACCATGTATATGTGATTGTGAGGTGTCACCTGACCATGTGGTTGTGAGGTGTCACTTGCCCATGTATATGTGGTTGTGAGGTGTCACTTGCCCATGTATATGTGATTGTAAGATGTCACCTGACCATGTATATGTGATTGTGAGGTGTCACCTGACCATGTGGTTGTGAGGTGTCACTTGCCCATGTATATGTGGTTGCGAGGTGTCACTTGCCCGTGTATATGTGATTGTGAGATGTCATCTGACCATGTAAATGTGGTTGTGAGATGTCATCTGACCATGTATATGTGGTTGTGAGATGTCACCTGACCATGTATATGTGGTTGTGAGGCGCCATCTGACCATGTATACGTGGTTGTGAGATGTCACCTGACCATGTATATGTGGTTGTGAGGTGTCACCTGACCATGTATATGTGGTTGTGAGATGTCACCTGACCATGTCTATGTGGTTGTGAGATGTCACTTGCCCATGTATTTGTGGTTGTGAGGTGTCACTTGCCCATGTATATGTGGTTGTGAGGTGTCACTTGCCCGTGTATATGTGATTGTGACATGTCATCTGACCATGTATATGTGGTTGTGAGGTGAGGTGTCACTTGCCAATGTATATGTGGTTGTGAGGTGTCACTTGCCCATGTATAAGTGGTTGTGAGATGTCACCTGACCATGTATATGTGGTTGTGAGATGTCACCTGACAATGTATATGTGGTTGTGAGGTGTCACTTGCCCATATATATGTGATTGTGAGGTGTCACCTGCCCATGTAATTGTGGTTGTGAGGTGTCACTTGCCCATGTATATGTGGTTGTGAGGTGTCACCTGACCATGTATATGTGGTTGTGAGGTGTCACTTGCCCATGTATATGTGGTTGTGAGGTGTCACTTGCCCATGTATATGTGATTGTGAGGTGTCACCTGACCATGTATATGTGGTTGTGAGGTGTCACCTGACAATGTATATGTGGTTGTGTGATGTCACCTGACCATGTATATGTGGTTGTGAGATGTCACTTGCCCATGTATATGTATATGTGGTTGTGAGGTGTCACTTGCCCATGTATATGTGGTTGTGAGGTGTCACTTGCCCGTGTATATGTGATTGTGAGATGTCATCTGACCATGTATATGTGGTTGTGAGGTGAGGTGTCACTTGCCCATGTATATGTGGTTGTGAGGTGTCACTTGCCCATGTATATGTGGTTGTGAGGTGTCACTTGCCCATGTATATGTGATTGTGAGATGTCACCTGACCATGTATATGTGATTGTGAGGTGTCACTTGCCCATGTATATGTGGTTGTGAGGTGTCACTTGCCCATGTATATGTGATTGTGAGATGTCACCTGACCATGTATATGTGATTGTGAGGTGTCACTTGCCCATGTATATGTGGTTGTGAGGTGTCACTTGCCCATGTATATGTGATTGTGAGATGTCACCTGACCATGTATATGTGATTGTGAGGTGTCACTTGCCCATGTATATGTGGTTGTGAGGTGTCACTTGCCCATGTATATGTGATTGTGAGATGTCACCTGACCATGTATATGTGATTGTGAGGTGTCACTTGCCCATGTATATGTGGTTGTGAGGTGTCACTTGCCCATGTATATGTGATTGTGAGATGTCACCTGACCATGTATATGTGATTGTGAGGTGTCACTTGCCCATGTATATGTGGTTGTGAGGTGTCACTTGCCCATGTATATGTGATTGTGAGATGTCACCTGACCATGTATATGTGATTGTGAGGTGTCACTTGCCCATGTATATGTGGTTGTGAGGTGTCACTTGCCCATGTATATGTGATTGTGAGGTGTCACCTGACCATGTATATGTGGTTGTGAGGTGTCACCTGACCATGTATATGTGGTTGTGAGGTGTCACTTGCCCATGTACATGTGGTTGTGAGGTGTCACTTGCCCATGTATATGTGGTTGTGAGGTGTCACTTGCCCATGTATATGTGATTGTGAGGTGTCATCTGCCCATGTATATGTGGTTGTGAGGTGAGGTGTCACTTGCCCATGTATATGTGGTTGTGGGGTGCCATCTGCCTCTGTTTATACCGGTATATGGTTTCGTGGTGTCACCTGCCTTTGTGTATGTGATTGTGAGGTGTCACCTGCCTTTGTGTATGTGATTCTGAGGTGTGACCTAACAAGATGTGTTTTCAGTAATACCTACCCATAGATATATGGTTGTGGGTTATGTTGAGGAGTCTCTGTCTATGTTTGGCGGCACACTGTGACAAGGACGTTTGTAGATAAGTGTGAAGCTCCTTTCTCTGTTTAACTAGTGTTTTGTAGCCTTTGGAACCCATACTGAGCAGTGTTATAAACAGGTCCATTGTCGGTGACATTGATGCCCGCCCTGTCAAAGTAAATCAACTACAAATAATGTCAAATTAACATATAAAGCATAAAAGTCAGAAATGAGAAACCGTGATTTGTTTATTGTACACTGAAAGATAAAAATTATAAGTTGAGAAGTTCATCAAATGAAGGTAATAAGACTGAAAATGGAACCTTTTATAAGAATGTGTGTTACATGTACATGTATTCCGTCTTTGCGTATTGCAGAGTTATCTTCTCTGAGAGAAGGTATTGATTGTTACGTCATTTGTTTGTGAGAGTAACGTCATCAATTTTTGAGAAAACGATGTAATTTTCTCACACGAACCAATGACGTAACAATCAATACCTGCTCCCAAGAGAAGATAACTCTGCAATACGCAAAGACGGAATATAGTTCAATGTGATATATAATTATTTGGAAATATTTTCAAATCAATACTACAAACAAAACTTTCTTTCCTCCTCAGTACAATTTCCCATGAAACATTCATTGGTACTTTGTTCACTTTTCACAGTTACAAACTTATTCACTGATGAAAACTTTTGTTGTCTGCTAGTACGTTTGAATTTGCATCACTTAAATCATTCATATGTTTGCGGTACTTGTTTCACTGATTGAACTGCAGCTATGGAAACCTTTAACTAGATACACAGCTCGAGACAGTAGTGCGATTCCACCAGAGATTGAACCAGCCGCCCCCAGCCTCCCAGTCCAGTGTTCTACCTATTGAACTAAAGGGAACTCCTTCTACAGTGAAGCCATAAAACAACTGTAACATCTTCTTTACAATTAACACTTGCCACACCTGTTATACAGCCAAACTTCTGTTTAGAGACCACATTCAGTGGCCAATAAAGTCTTTTTTAATTGCAGGTACTCTCTGATAGAGGTTCATTAACAAGAAAATTACTACAGTGTGGATTTTTAGAAGCAGTCTATAATTAGCAAAGGCGGTCTCTGATAGAGGTTCATTAACAAGAAAATTACTACAGTGTGGATTTTTGAAAGCAGTCTCTAATTAGCACAGGCAATCTCTGATAGAGGTTCATTAACAAGAAATTACTACAGTGTGGATTTTTAAAAACAGTCTCTAATTAGCACAGGCAATCTCTGATAGAGGTTCATTAACAAGAAAATTACTACAGTGTGGATTTTTAAAAGCAGTCTATAATTAGCAAAGGCGGTCTCTGATAGAGGTTCATTAACAAGAAAATTATCACAGTGTGGATTTTTAAAAGAAGTCTCTAATTAGCACAGGCGGTCTCTTATAGAGGTTCATTAACAAGAAAATTACTAGTGTGGATTTTTAAAAACAGTCTCTAATTAGCACAGGCAATCTCTGATAGAGGTTCATTAACAAGAAAATTACTACAGTGTGGATTTTTAAAAGCGGTCTCAAATTAGCACAGGCCGTCTCTGATAGAGGTTCATTAACAAGAAAATTATCACAGTGTGGATTTTTAAAAGCAGTCTCTAATTAGCACAGGCGGTCTCTTAACAGATGGTCTCTTGAGCTGATTTGTCTGAACTGACATAGGAAATGGATGACTTGAACGACTTAAATGTTTACGTACCAGGGTATGTTTTACTGATTCTTTCCAGGAGCTTGTCATCAAAACCAGCGATAATGGATCCCCCGACGGGCACCATAAAGTTTTTGTCTGTACTCTGTACAAACACATCCACTCTTCCTGTTCTAGCTGTCTGCAAAAAATTAATATATATAAAAAAGGATACACATACACATTTCCACTTGAAATTTCGGGGGAATTCTAGAATATTTATTGTCTAACTTTGAATGGTTTTCTGCCAGAACTTATACTGTATTAATGTATAACATGATGTTTACATTGCAGTTAAACTTTCCCTTTTTTTCCCTCAATTGAGAGGTCAAATTTATCCTGACAGCAAACATTCAAATCAAGCATACAATATAAAGTCATTATATGTGAAGGGCAAGATTAACACTTGTTTCTGTGAAATAGTTTATGAGTCCTTTTCAATATGTAAAAATAGTACCATCAGCTCCAGTGGCTGTGAAGTATAGAGCGTTCGATAGCATTGGAATCCTAATGAGCTGGAAAATGCAGTTTTGATCCCCAGAGTGTATAGTCAGTTTGGGTAAGGTCCCTAAACAGGGTATTAAAGTAGTGCATAGGTATTTGTTTATCTTGGGGCAGCCAAAGATAAAATAATTGATTGCGAGAGGATTCAGAGTGACAACTTGCCAATTTGCCATTGTTCTCAGGCAAATCGGATCAAGAGTTATCTCCCCTGTGTACCATTTACCTGTTGTATGATGTGTGTACACTAAGTACACTGTAGACCATAGACATTGATTACAAGATGTGGACTGTCACTAACCTGTTGTATGAGGTGTGTACACTTGGTACACTGTAGACTATAGANACACTGTAGACCTAGATATTGTTTACAAGATGTGGACTGTCACTTACCTGTTGTATGCGGTGTATACACTTGGTACACTGTAGACTTTAGACATTGTTTACAAGATGTGTACACTTGGTACACTGTAGACTATATACATTATTTACAAGATGTGGCTGTAGACCTAGGCATTGTTTACAAGATGTGGACTGTCACTTCTGTAGACTATATACATTATTTACAAGATGTGGACTGTAACTTACCTGTTGTATGAGGTGTGTACACTTGGTACACTGTAGACCATAGACATTGTTTACAAGATGTAGACTGTCACTTACCTGTTGTATGAGGTGTGTACACTTGGTACACTGTAGACCATAGACATTGTTTACAAGATGTGGACTGTCACTTACCTGTTGTATGAGGTGTGTACACTTGGTACACTGTAGACCATAGACATTGTTTACAAGATGTGGACTGTCACTTACCTGTTGTATGAGGTGTGTACACTTGGTACACTGTAGACCATAGACATTGTTTACAAGATGTGGACTGTCACTTACCTGTTGTATGAGGTGTGTACACTTGGTACACTGTAGACCATAGACATTGTTTACAAGATGTGGACTGTCACTTACCTGTTGTATGAGGTGTGTACACTTGGTACACTGTAGACCATAGACATTGTTTACAAGATGTGGACTGTCACTTACCTGTTGTATGAGGTGTGTACACTTGGTACACTGTAGACCATAGACATTGTTTACAAGATGTGGACTGTCACTTACCTGTTGTATGAGGTGTGTACACTTGGTACACTGTAGACCATAGACATTGTTTACAAGATGTGGACTGTCACTTACCTGTTGTATGAGGTGTGTACACTTGGTACACTGTAGACCATAGACATTGTTTACAAGATGTGGACTGTCACTTACCTGTTGTATGAGGTGTGTACACTTGGTACACTGTAGACCATAGACATTGTTTACAAGATGTGGACTGTCACTTACCTGTTGTATGAGGTGTGTACACTTGGTACACTGTAGACCATAGACATTGTTTACAAGATGTGGACTGTCACTTACCTGTTGTATGAGGTGTGTACACTTGGTACACTGTAGACCATAGACATTGTTTACAAGATGTGGACTGTCACTTACCTGTTGTATGAGGTGTGTACACTTGGTACACTGTAGACCATAGACATTGTTTACAAGATGTGGACTGTCACTTACCTGTTGTATGAGGTGTGTACACTTGGTACACTGTAGACCATAGACATTGTTTACAAGATGTGGACTGTCACTTACCTGTTGTATGAGGTGTGTACACTTGGTACACTGTAGACCATAGACATTGTTTACAAGATGTGGACTGTCACTTACCTGTTGTATGAGGTGTGTACACTTGGTACACTGTAGACCATAGACATTGTTTACAAGATGTGGACTGTCACTTACCTGTTGTATGAGGTGTGTACACTTGGTACACTGTAGACCTAGGCATTGTTTACAAGATGTGGACTGTCACTTACCTGTTGTACGAGGTTTGTATACTTGGTACACTGTAGACCATAGGTATTGTTTACAAGATGTGGACTGTCACTTACCTGTTGTATGAGGTGTGTACACTTGGTACACTGTAGACCATAGGCATTGTTTACAAGATGTGGAATGTCATTATCTTTACAAATCTTTCCTATTTCCTCAAGCCTAAAACAAAGGATTCTTGTTTCGTCATTTACAAACAAACATTAAGGACAACAGGAAATATTTTTCCTATTGTTAATTTCAATTTTTTAAATGAAGCGCTGTTTCAAAATTGTTTATTTCCATAGTTGAGTATAAGGCATGAAATCTAAGCAAAGACGTGTTTAAGTCTATCTTTTTCATAATTTGCTCGTCTTCTACAAGTACACAAACAAATATGGTATTACACAATTTCATTGCTATATGCCCTTATGGTCAATATGAAGCCACCGAAAAAGTATATTTCTGGCAGGTTTTGTATACACGAAATTCCGTTAATTTACAATCTAAGCCAGAAACTGTAGTCCTTCATCAAAGCCTCTTTCATATTCTTTTATGGTAATAAATGCTTGAAAGTGTTAATGTATCCACAGCATAGAATAAAAATCATTGTTATTTATGCATTGTCTTAAATCTGACTAAAACCAGATCTTTAATTCCACTCCTGATACTATATATTCCAGTCAACGTAGAGTATCGGAATGGAGTTAAAGATCTGGTTTTAGTCAGAATGGCATTGTCTCATGATCCATACACAACAATATCAATATCAGTTCTTCACTGTGGAATGTTTGAAATATAAACAAACTGAAACTAATAGAATTACTTGGAACACCAGTAGAAAGTCCTTCTTATGAATTATTTTCTGACAAGATTCTGTCTCTCTGTTAGGATCAGTAACTAACGGTATTTGTATGAGGTTTATTGTAGTTGATTGTTTTTCATACACCTTAACCTGTACCTATGAAGCAGTCAGTGTTTCAGAGATTACTCACAAAACATGTACCTGTCTGGGGCTCGAGGTGCGAAGCAGCTTGTCGTGGTAAATATACAAAGAACACTGTCCGCTCCTAGCTCTGCTACCTTGTCACGGACTGCCTGTACATCCGTCCTCAACTCATCTCCCTCCAGCCTGTTCTCCACCACCACAGGGGTCAGACCTAGAGGATCGTAGCACAATACATATTAATGTGTTATAATAGAGGGTTGAGGTGTAACAACGTTTCAGGTATTTATAGGAAATGATTTGGGACAACAAGTAAAGATAACGACACTTTCCCATCAATTTCTAGGTAATTTTACATTTAGACAACAAGGAATGATATCGTGAATGGTAATTTGGCCATGAGATAGCTGCAGTATCAGTATCACAGAAAAGGAGAACAAATTAACCCTTTCGCCCCTAGGTAACTTTACTAGACTCTACCATGCATTTATGAGGATGAGTCCATTATAGTCTACAATAGTGGTAAAAGGGTTAACAACAGTACCAGCATCATTGGAAATTATATTGTGACATAAGACAGGTTAGGAACCGGGAGCTCTGCTGACTCATACAACATGCCTATAGTATTTGTTTTCATGTTTTCTCCCTTGCATGCTTCATACATTATAACTGAATTACATCATCATTATTATTTCAAGTCATGATTAATTCACAGAATTAAAGTATTCTTAAGTTCATGAAATGTTTTAATATCTATTCCCAATATCTCAATAACATAAACCTTTTCTTGTTGAAATCTTTTTTAAGAAGTGTTCAAATGATATATTTTTTTCTGGTCAAAAGATACAAGTTCTTCATAAAACCATGTTAACTTTAAATTTTAACATAATGTTATAACAAGTGCTCTTCAGTATCTTGTATCTCATACGTGCAACTCTTTTTACAACAGAGATGCAACATTTTTCAGGCTATTGTCTGCCTTAAACATCATACCCGTGATTTGTGTTTATATCCAGGACAAATACCTGCTGTAATGATGGACTTAATGCAAGACTTCTGATCAATACGCGGCCAGATGACAAATTTTGCATTGGGTCGAATTAGTCTGAAGGTCAACATTGACAGTACCATACTCATTCCTGTTGCCATGGGGACCACAAAACAGCTCTTCACAGACGGAATACCTGTAATTGCCAAATTACAATAAAAATTATCATTATCTTACGTGTGATTAAAGAAAGTACTGCTTAACACGTGCACAGCATCACGAGCTCCTGAAATATTGGTGAAACCATAGGCATGCCACTGGTGACTATAAAGATGCCATGTACATTTTTGACTGCATTATACATTTTTCTGATATAAAGTTCTTATATCAGAAAAATGTATAATGCAGTCAAAAATGTACATGGCATCTTTCAAAGGAATTCCTAGGTTTTTAAGAAATAAAGTGCAAAGTGTCACTTACAACCCTTCCAATGTAATCTTTAACACACTGTATCACAGTATTGAAATGCAACAAGAAAAAATAAATTTGCAATCTATTATATATAATTAGCATTAGTTGAATTACCTCTTAGAGGTGGGCTTTTGTTTTTGGTTAATGTTAACAACTTTTATATGAATTGTCTCCCTTAGCTCATATTTCAAATCGTGTCACAAGGATTTAATGGGGACTACAATTGCAGTCACAACTTCAGTTGTGTTGGTTGATTAACAAAAGGGGTTGTAAAAAATGGAACATTTTATTTTATGAAATGCAAATCTTCAAATTAATTCTTATCCCAACACTAAATCTCAAAAGATTTGGTCGAAAACTGTGGCACTTACACAGGTATTACGGTCACAAGCGAAGGTTATGTATACAGACACCATGATAACTTATAATATATATAGTAATGCTGTCTGCTCCATATGCAACTATGTGTAACAGAAACAAACATTGATATAAAGCAGTGGTAGGGACTGTATATGCTCTGTTTCTGCTTGATGTCAGTGTTATTGTCCCCTGGGAACTAGTTTGTATAGAAGCTAGTCACTAAAAGTGACTTTATTAATTCCAATCTGTAAATATTCCTACAATATAAATACCACATAGTCTGATGAGATCAAGAGCCAAACTATTAGTCAATTTCATCATGAGACTTGACCCTGCGGCTTTTGGTTGTATGGCAGTAATTTCTCCTGATCGACCTATTCCATGTCCAAAACTGAAGCAAAAAAAGGATGAAACATGCAACAGAACATTGGCAAGGAGTTAAACATTGAGGACTCAGAAATAACTAATTATATAGTGTTGCATACATTTTGTAAAATGATTAACAAGCCACTTTTCAAAGCATTGAGTGGTTGGAATGAATTATTTTAGTGCATTTACCACTGGTGTCATAGTTAACAAAACAGTTCAAGAAAATATTAACAGTCAATAAAATCTCTTGCAAATTAAAAAAAAAATGAATGAAATATAATCAGTTCATATTTACAGTTTGATATTTTACTAAATAAAACAGGATTCTCAACACCTCTATACCTCTATAGTCAAGAACAGTTTGTTATATTTACTTCATGAAAATGTTTTGGTCCATTAAGTAATCTTTTAGTGATAATTATACAAGATAATTTGGATATTCAGTTAACAAAACCAAATTTACTTGTAGTGTCTCTTCAGCACTAAAGGGGAGAAAACTCTGGCTTCCCTTTCCCCAACACCACAATTTCCGGGAAAATTGTTACTATCCATCACAGAGAATTCCTGGAGGAGGATCTCAATGGTGAGGTCGCTCCAACCCTCCTCCGGCAACTTCTTCTGTTATAATAAATAGAAAGAGAGATGTAGATATTGTCATTTTATTAAAACGAATTAGATAAGGCAGACAGAGACTTGTAATCAGATATGTTGATGTATTTTGCTGTAATATCTGGGTTACTTAAAAGATGACATACTTGTATTGCTACATGTATGTTATAATGTATTGTATGCCAGGAAATTTTTGTCATATATTAACTTTCGTCTTTTTCTGCTTAAAATGCATTTATATAATTACAGCGAATATTAGTATACAGCATACCTATATAGTAATCACTTGTGAGGACGAAATTAACACTTGGCAAATATAGATTTTATCGAAGAAAGGTGAATATTTGACGGACACACGTTTCCCTGTATACAATATAACTGTCAGTACCGTATCAAATGAAGGAAGGGAGATAATCATATAACATACAGTGACAATATCATACCAAATGTATTGTTTGCAAAATGAGAGTAGCAGAAATTTAAAAAACATTTAATTGGAATTCTTTTGTAGTACATGTTAATAATGAAGATATATAGGTTTAAAATTTCTATAGTTAAACTTAATATAAGACAATCATGATAACTACCGCTGAACCGGGTTATATTCAATTCCTTGAGGTAAAACATTTTCTTTAATATAACCAGTGTTTAATGTAACCGATATGCGTTACCAAGACCTAGAAAGCCCCCCCTTGTAATGTAGTGAAAACAATCTACAGGACACGTCCATAGTAATGCAAGTACAAAACATGCAAAAGTTATCTTAAATAATTTTCTTTTTTGAACTCACATATTGTATATACAGGTATCCTCACAAACTTTTGAAAAATAGTCTTTCGTACAAGACTGTTTATTATCAGATTGCGATTGAGAAAAAAACACATTAATTGATGTTTCGGACAGAAGTGAACAGAAGGTCAGGAATATCAGCTTATGCTTATAGATAATTTTTGCATGATTGTCAATCAATTGTTTCCTTTTTTTGGATTGCTTTGGGGAAGCCATGTTATTGCTTACCCTTCGATGTCCGGATACAAAAAAAATACCATTTGTACTAGAAGTAATATGAGTGAGACATAATTAGAAGAAGCGCATATTGTCGCCCCGACACCCGTTACTTGCTGTGATTTACCCTACCTGGCTATTCATTTGGGCCACTGACCATGACCAGGTGAGCTACCATTCTAACCGATATTATTTTAACAGAATTTGTGGTCACAGGGAATGAAATAAACTCAATGAAAGCATTTTTTGCAATGTAATCGGATTCAATGTAACTGACATTGAAATACAAAGAAAATACCAAAAAAAAGCTGGGATATTTCATTGTATCCGAATTCAATGTAACTCGGTTCTAACTGTGCTACCTGTTGCAGAAGATGTTTGATCTTGTTCTGGTGGACCTGTCGGGCCTGTTGTCCTTGATGTACATATGTGTCAGGTATCAGCTTCTCACAAAGTTTATAGCAGTCAGCATCCATCCTACAACATGAATAAGTTCTGAATATCAATTCCAGTCTTACCAATTTGCAAATTAACTTTCCATGTCACTACAATGAAACATCCTCCTACTGTATTGATGTTGACAGGTATTGAAAGTCACATTTGGTTCCAAGCACAACTGTCTGGTTTCATTATAGACTGTAATGCCCGTTTAACATTAATTCTATAATGGACCTCAGGATTCTGAAAATTTTGCATTCAAATGCCTTTATATAAAATCAAAACAACTGTGTTTCAGTATCCTTTGACTGATAAACGACATTTTAATGGCCTATTTTGTCAATATCAAACCATGTATGTTACAAGCATTTGTGTTTGTTGACCTACAATGTATTGTATGGCTTGTTGGATACTAGGAAACTCATATAGTGTTCTTCATTATACAATGTATTGTATGGCTTGTTTGATACTAGGAAACTCATATAGTGTTCTTCATTATACAATGTATTTTATGGCTTTTTGGGTACTAGGAAAATCATATAGTGTTCTTCATTATACAACATATTTTATGGCTTTTTTGGTACTAGGAAAATCATATAGTGTTCTTCATTATACAATGTATTGTATGGCTTGTTTGATACTAGGACACTCATATAGTGTTCTTCATTATACAATGTATTTTATGGCTTGTTGCATACTAGGAAACTCATATAGTGTTCTTCATTATACAACATATTTTATGGCTTTTTGGGTACTAGGAAAATCATATAGTGTTCTTCATTATACAACATATTTTATGGCTTGTCGGATACTAGGAAACTCATATAGTGTTCTTCATTATACAGCATATTTTATGGCTTTTTTGGTACTAGGAAAATCATATAGTGTTCTTCATTATACAATGTATTGTATGGCTTGTTTGATACTAGGACACTCATATAGTGTTCTTCATTATACAATGTATTGTATGGCTTGTTTGATACTAGGAAACTCATATAGTGTTCTTCATTATACAATGTATTTTATGGCTTTTTTGGTACTAGGAAAATCATATAGTGTTCTTCATTATACAATGTATTGTATGGCTTGTTTGATACTAGGACACTCATATAGTGTTCTTCATTATACAATGTATTGTATGGCTTGTTTGATACTAGGAAACTCATATAGTGTTCTTCATTATACAACATATTTTATGGCTTTTTGGGTACTAGGAAAATCATATAATGTTCTTCATTATACAACATATTTTATGGCTTTTTTGGTACTAGGAAAATCATATAGTGTTCTTCATTATACAATGTATTTTATGGCTTGTTGGATACTAGGACAGGTCTTTATATATATAATTATAGCTCAATCGGAGTGTAGTGGACCTGTTAAGTACTCTACACTCTACATAGACCGAAATGGCTTACGCATATTGATCTTGTTAAACTTTCAGTCGCTGGGTACGTTATATCCCAATACGGTATTGGGGTAAAACGTACCCACTACCCAGCGACTGAAAGTCTAACAAGATCAATATATTAATAGCAGTTGCGGGGGGGGGGGGGGGGGGGGGGGNTCGTGTACGAATAACAACATGAACACTGGTGAAAGAAAGCTCACGAACCTGATCTATGTTAAATGTTATGATACAAAATAGTTACCCACTAAAACAAATCATGTTTGATATTATGACATCCCATATTACCTTGATAGTTTCTGGTTTTCTTCTTTACTCACTTCTTTTGGTACACCCGGCCGCCGACCAAATAGCGGAAGAATAATAATCAACATAGAAGTAAAACCGGATACATTTTATATCCGGAAATGACATAATCGCGACGCCGGAATAGTCAAGTTATATGTTAAATTGTAGATTTTTGTATACATACAGATTTTTTCCCCATTAAATAACATGTGTTAGCTTTGCTTTTCTACGTAGTTAATACGGTTTTTTTCTCACACTTCACAGGTTCATTTAGTCTGTTTTGGCACGGAATTAGATTTAGCCGGGGAACCTCAATAGTGATCCGAGGCAAAATTTGTCAGACACGAGACTTGCCGGTTGTTTGGCAACGTATGAATCTTTCCCCATGGATTGCGTTTCCCTATTTCACCTCAACCGGGTGATTATTTGTCTCTTGCTTGTCATATGATCTAACCACGGACTTATAGCTAATCTAATTCCGTGATCTAATGGAATGTTGACGGCTCTATCCATGGTTAACCTGACCTTAATTGCATTGTTGACGTTCACGTGACGACATGCAATATTGTAACAAACCTAGGGAGATAAACTAACAGAACCTCCACCCCTTTGTGTCTGAGCCTAGGAAATATTTCCCCGGTGGTCAACCATATCCCCTCAAGTGGATGATTGATTCTTTTTCCCTTTCTCTTATATATCTTGATGAACCTTTCATATACAGTGTACACAAGTCAATGTTACATTACATACTCAATACATTGTTGACGTGACGTTAATGTATGGTGAGACTTAACAGGTATAGACATTTTATTCCCCCACGTTGGGGGTAAGGCAGAAAAAAATCAACCTTCGGGTTAAGGTTCCTAAATCCTGCCCTCGGCAAAGCCTCCGTGTTTACCCCAAATGATGTACCCTCGGGTTGAACATTTCTATCCTACATACTCTACCTTACGTCGTATCTGAGACGACGTTATTGACCTCAGTCATGGCCTACTGACTGAAGTACATGTACGTATACATACTTCACGGCGGCATCGACGTTTGAAATCGTGTATCCCAGGTATTCAGCTTCCGTTAAAATACATTATAAATTTAGCTTACGACGTTATTTTCTTTTATTTAATGGTATAAATGTTGATCTAATTGACGGCGTAATTTCATCGACGTTATCGAGTGTTCGGCTATGATAAATGTACGTAACCTGTCACATTCATGCTTGTAAAATCTGATTTGTATATATGCTTATGCCGTACCGCGGCGTCCGTCGTCCGGCGTCAACTTTTCCCTTTAAAAGCATTTATCTCCTGAACGACTGATGGGATTTTAACTAAATTTGATATGAAGCATCCTTGGAACCAGCTGCAGGGGCTCAATGGATTTATGAAATTAGGGTGTGGCCCCCTGGGGTTAAGTTAGGGGCCAAAAAGAGGGAAATTTAGAAAAAAAAATAAAAAATCTTCTTCTCCATTTCCATAAATGCATAAACCAAATACTACTCATAATCTTCTTCTTTAGTTATAAAAATGCTAGGATCAAATACTACCCATAGCTGTAAAGGCATTTGGGTGGTTTATACAATTTGTGATTTTCATGTCTCCCAGGGCCCCCGTTTGCCCCTGAGGAAGGGGTAAAATTTAGTATAGTTTATATAGGAAATAGACATGACGGGACATATCTTCATTGTTTTGAAAATGATTTGTTCATATTTAAGAGAAATACTTATTAGGGGTGGTGGGTCTGCTGGTATAAATCGTGTGAGCCTGCCCCCCTAGGGGGCTGAGTTAGGGGCCGAAAAAGGGGGGGGGGGGGATTTAGGGAAATTTCAGAAATCTTCTTCTCCAGTTCTAGAAATGCTGGAAGCAAATACTACTCATAGCTGTAAAGGCCTTTGGGTGGTTTATAAAAATGGTGATTTTCATGTCTCTCACGGTCTCCGTTTGGCCCTGAGAAGGGGTTGAAATTTAGTATAGTTTATATATGAAATAGACATGATAGGCCATATCTTCCAATGTTTTGAACGGAATTTGTTCATATTTTACAGAAATACTTGTTAGGGAAGGGAGGTCTGCTGGTATAATATATATTTATGAGTCTGACCCCCTAGGGGGCTGAGTTAGGGGCCAACAAAGGGGAGAAATTTGGGAAAATTTCAAAAATCTTCTTCTAGAGTTACAAAAATGCCAGGATCAAATACTACCTATATCTGTAAAAGCGTTTGGGTGGTTTATAATTGATTTTCATGTCTACCAGGCCCCCCGTTTGCCCCTGGTGGGTGAAGTTTAGTATAGTTTATATAGGAAATATACATAATAGGCCATATCTTCCAATGTTTTGAACGGAGTTTGCTCATATTTGACGGAAATACTTGTTAGGGGAGGAAGGTCTGCTGGTATAATTTTTGTGAACCTGACCCCCCTAGGGGGCTGGGTTTGGGGTGAAAAAGGAGGCGAATTTCAAAAATCTTCTTCTGCATTTCCATAAATGCTAGTATCAAATACTACTCATAGTAGTAAAGGCCTTCGAGTGGTTTATATACTTTGTGATTTTCATGTGCCCCAAGTCCCTCGTTTGCCTTTGGGGAGGGGGTAAAGTTTGGTATTGTTTATATAAACAATTCGACAAATGAACAGCCATCACATACTTTTTATCTCCAACCCAACTAATGTGCTAGTAATAGTAACAACCTTAATTCTTTATGAATTATAAAGTCTCCATAGTAACGCTTCCAAGTTCTTACCCTACATGTCTGAAGTGGTTACAAATTGGCATTACAGAGCAAATGTAAATATTGTGCCATGATTGCTTAAATAACCAGGTGAGCGATACAGGTCCCCTGGGCCTCTTGTTTAATATATCACTTATAGCCCATTACCAACATCACTCAAACATAACTACACTATTGTATGTGGTCGGTTGTTGCAGTGGATATAGCGCATTCGCCTTCCAAAAAGCGGTCGGGGTTCGATTCCCCTGTCGGACATGAAAAGTTAAGGGGTGACATGCCAGACTACGTGGGTTTTCTCCAAGTACTCCGGTTTCCTCCCACATTAGACCCCATGTGCGCTACCATCCGGGTAAACAAGAGTGGTTAATATAAGGTGATAGGAATTGTTTCGGAATTGATGTGAAATAAATAAGGTTTAATTTAAAAATACACATGTTTACTAATACCTAGCAATATTGAATTACTACAAACAATTATGAAACATCTAAGGTGGATATGACTTAGTTCGTATAACGATCACAGCGTTAAAGACTGCGAGGACACACGAACTATATACGAGCTCTCACGCAGTTCAAGTTGAATTGTTACACTACTCGGCAGTTAACAAACTTTATTTGTTGTTAATTTATCTTGCCTCGCATCCTTACGCTGTGTGAAGAGGAGGTGGACCGGATCGTGCCGGACCGTGCCGGATAGTACAAGACATTTTATTTATAGTCGTATATATGAAAACTGTTTATGGCAATACGATAGTATAACATTTGTTTAGTATCCAGGTCCGAGACTAGTATAAATTACAGTCATCGACCCCTGTTACGGCACGATCTCGTGAAGAAATTGTGTCGGGTGAGAAATCGTGCCGTAACAGCTCCTTGTTTCTAGCAATAAAACAGATTAGTTACGTATGTTAGTTTTCAATAGAACTTGTTGCGTTGTTGCTATCAACACCCCCTTAACTCTTAGTAAAGGGGTCAAGTATCTAAAATGATTCATTTTGTTTGTATGTCTTATCAGGACATGTGGTTTCATAGCTCTAAATTTACAGTGCATGCAATGTACACCGTGAGATTTTTTTCTGAATTAATAAGCATTTGAATGTCGAGCATTATTGGTCTCGATCTAGTTAATTGGAGCGCATGTTTAAGATAGAACTTAAAAGCACGTAAATGGATAAATGGCGTGTTGGTAGTTTTCGTTGTTGCCAGCATTGGATATGTTGTACATTTTGTGTCCTTTTGAGACTGTAATGACCTGTATCTATGACCTTGTGTGTTATCACGCTTTATTAGAAGCTAATAACATAATTATCAGTACTTTGTATTTGTTTGTCGTATACCATTATATTATAACATCTCTTGTACATACAAAAATTAGACATTTGTACAACGTAGAGCAGCGAGATACTCTTTTAATGAGTACAGATCTAGAGACACAGATACAGATCGTACCGCGTACAGACGTGTGTTTGTCTTACATCCATCTTTGAAGTACCGCGTACAAACGTGTGTTTGTCTTGCATCCATTTTTGAAGTACTGCGTACAAACGTATGCTTCTCTTACATCCATCTTTGAAGTTCCGCGTACAGACGTGTGCCTGTCTTACATTCATCTTTGAAGTACCGCGTACAAACGTGTGCTTGTCTTAAACCTATCTTTGAAGTACCGCGTACAAACGTGTGTTTGTCTTACATCCATCTTTGAAGTACCACGTACAAACGTGTGCTTCTCTTACATCCATCTTTGAAGTTCCGCGTACAAACGTGTGCTTGTCTTACATCCATCTTTGAAGTAGCGTACAAACGTGTGCTTGTCTTACACCCATCTTTGAAGTTCCGCGTACAAACGTGTGCTTGTCTTAC